TCATTATTCCATTCCCCAGTGCAAGAGCTCACGATTTTCTCCCATTACATGACGAGCAGGTTCCTCAAGGGGCTGGCATGTCTTTTCTTCTCAGGTCAGACCCCTGATTCCACCAAGGAATTTGAACTGTGTGTTATCTGGACTCTCAGGCCCCCCATTTGAACTGCTGGCCATGTGCTTCTGGTCACACGTGTGCTGGAAGATAGCCTTCCTTGTGGTGATAATATCAGCCAGATGCATTTCAGAGCTTCAAGCCCTGATCTCGGAGCTGCTATATACAGTCTTTCACAAGGACAAGGTCCAGCTCCACCCACATCCAGAACATTTTCCTTCCATTTCTCCGTCCCAAACGTCACTCCTCTCATGAGGAGAGGCATCTTCACTCATTGGATGTGCATTGGGCTCTGACTTTCTACCTGAACAGAACTAGACCATTCTGGAAATCTGCCCATGGCTGAAATCATAAGGGGCCATCTTGTCTCTACCCTGCAGATTTCTAACCAGATCACTTAGGTCATAGCAAGCACAGATACATGAACTGGCATTCCCCTGCTGAAAATTGTGTGGGCTCACTTGATGAAGGTAGAGGGCTCATCAGTGGTGTTCCTGTTCAGGACAATCTGTAGGGTGGCTATCTGGTCATTTGTGCAACATGTTCACTGCTCCCTAGTGTCTCCATCACTAGAGATGACATTTAGTTGGGTAAGGTGATCGTGCAGCCTTCTTGTTCTTGACGCCTACCTCCTACTGCTGGTCGTCACCAGTTTTGGAATGGTTGCTCATGTCCATTCCACCATTTCTGGAGAGAAGGAACTGAAGGTAGAGGGAGCACAGTGCACCTTATACCTCACCAGAGTTGGGCTAGGGTGGGTCTCTGGAGGCACCCCCCCCTACAGGTACTGCTGGGGGAAAATTTCCAGCACTGGTACACATGTGGCAAGCATGCACACATTGTGGAATGGACATTAAGCAACACCTCTCGAATACCAGTTAGGGAGCAGGTAACTGTTTTTTTTTTTTTTAGGGTCCTTATTGCTTCTCAAAACCAGGTTAGTGATCACTGAGGAAAAAGAGTGGCTTTTTAGGTTAGATAAGATGGGAAAAGAGTTATGTAGTATTTAAACAAGGAAAAATTAGACCAAATAAATGAATAACTTTCTAACTATACAGTATTGTTAAAGACCATTTGGCCTGCTCAGAAAGACTTCTAATGAAAAGTTGTCCCAGGAATTAGTCTGAGAAGGGCTATCTCAGGGAGATTTGCTTACCTCTGGGCAATTAGCTGCTTTGCTAGATGTGCGGTTTTGTCTGCTCAGTTTGTTTGCTGTAGTCTTGACTTACCTTTAACCAAGATGAAATTCGATTAGAGAAGATGGTCATTGGCCTGATTTTCAGTATCAGTTGATAGTTATTTGTGAAGCTCTTGTTCTTTGGTGTCCTTAGTGGAGAGATGCACTTTGTTCCCTAAGATGAGCATTGGCCATCCCTGCCAACAGAGACAGGTCTTCCCTAATTACGTTGTTCTGCAGCACAGATTGGGAATTATTCACCAGACAATAGCTGTAGTGCTTCTGAATAACATTGACTTAAACCCAAGCACAGAAAACCTACCTCCTCCCCCTTCTATTTCTTGTTTCAACAAAAGCAGAAAGTTCTGTCTGAATCTTGCAGAATTGAAACTGTCACACGTGTGTGTGTGTGTGTGTGTGTGTGTGTGTGTGCGCGCGCACGCGCACACAAACGTTGTGAAAGGTTGAATCACAGAAAGCCCCTTGGGGTTGGCCTCCCAGTGTGCTAATCATGCCACTGATGCCAACCTTCCTGCACTCTGGAGTTCCCCACCACTCTGTATTGCTTAGCCAGATCCTTTGGTCTCTCCCAGCCAAGTCTCAGAGTTAGGATAGCCACCCTGTGCAGAGCAGCAGACACAGAACCAGATCAGCTTTGGGAGGGCTCAGCTATAAGGGCTCAGCACCCAGGAAACCAGCCCTAAACCCCAAACAAATCAGTGTTAACTCTATGTAAAAGTTTTATACAGAGAGCTTATAAGGGCCACCCACTTTATCAGAGAGATACACAGTGGTTACTCATCCTTGCCCCAGTTAACAATTGTTTACACTGGATTTGATAATAAAAGGTTTTTTTAAGTATAAAAACTAGGATTTAAGTAGTTGCAAGTGAAAACAGTTAGATCAAAGAAAGATAACTTAAAATGAACAAAAATGCTTAGCTACTTCTGATCCACTAACGAACTTGTTATATGCAAATTCTTATCCTCAACAGCTGTTCTTTTCTCAGGTAAAAAGCTATAAGTCAGAGTTATCTTTATTGTCTCCTGGGTCTATGGCTTCTTCAAAGTTCTTTGTCTTCAGCTGGCCTTTGAAACTGCCTGGTCCACTCAAAGGCTACGTCTACACTGCAGCCTTTTGTACAAAAAGGACCGTTTTTGCGTAAAAACTTGTGGAGCATCCACAGTACAAGCATGTTCTTGCACAAGGAAAAGTACAGTTAATAGTAAGAACACAGGGCTTTTTGCGGCGTATGTATTCCTCTTTCTACGAGGAATAAGCCTTTTTGTGTAAGAGCTCTTTGTGTGGATAGGCAATGGCTTTCTTGTGCAAGAAACCCCTATGGCTAAAACGGCCATCAGAGCTTTCTTGCACAAGAGAGTGTCCACGCTGCCATGGACGCTCTTGCGCAAAAGCACATGGTTGTGGGGATGCACTGTTGCTCAAGAACTTTTTGTGCAAGAACTGCGCAAGAAGCCTGCAGTGTACATGTGTAGCCCAAGAGGCTACAAAGGCTGATTGCTTCCCATGCTTAAATAGACTGTACACCCAGTGTGGGAACCTTTTGTTTGGCATACCAAGTTCAAGATGCATTCCAGTACCAAGTATTTTTTCACATGTCTTTCTAGGACCCACCACTGGTTGGCTTGTAGGATAAACACAACCAGTCACATGTTGTTGGTACAGGGTACCAGTAATGGCCCTCATTAGCATATTTTAAACTATACACAGATCTACACCTCATATTTCTGACTTCACCTACAAGAATGATACATGCATAAAAATAGGATATACACATTCAGCAGATTGTAACATTAAAATTGATGTGAGGTATTTTGTTTAAAATAATCGTCACCAACCAATAGATCCTGATCTTGGAGCCTCTGACAGGTGATCCTGAGTGATTTGGCTGGGAAGCTATCAAGCGCTGGCACTTCACTTGCCCCTCCACCCACTGTCATGCTACTCCTGCCCTCTGCCTTGGAGATACTCCCCTGGGAGCCTCATTCTTGCTGGGCAGGTTGTGGGAGGAAAAGGGGGAGGGAGGTGCTGATATCAGGGTGTCCTTCCTTTCCCCACTCCTGTACCCCAACTCCACACAGAGAAGGGAATGGAGGGAGCTTCACAATGCAAATCTGTCACTCTCACACACTGTGTGTCTGTCATTCTCACAAACACACACAATCCTTCTCTCTCATCTCCTGACCCAGGTTGTTACTCCTTTCACTGCTTGCAAGGTGGGTTATTTTGGGGTTTTGATTGGTCTGTGCATTTTGTAATTTTCATTTCTCTCTTATTCTTAAATTTAATTCTTTGAATAGTGAGTTCTCAAATGCCTAACCTGTCATGACTGGAGTCCTTATCCCTGTGGTAATTGCTGCTTCTGGAAGTGGCTGGCATGTCCCTGCAGCCCCTGAGAAAGGCAGAGCAGGAAGTCTCCACTTGCTGTCCTTGTGTGCAGACACCACACCTGCAGCTTCCATTGATCATTATTGGGGAACCGTGGCCAGGAGAAGCTATAGGCTCCATGCCTGTAGATGAGGGGCAGCATATAATGCCATGGAGCCATTGCTATACATGCCAGCTGCTTTGAGGAGTGGTACAGGGCAGGAGTAAGCCTGCCTTAACCCCATTGCTCTACCACTTGGAAGCTTTCTCTGTTAAACAATGTCCAGCCAGAGCCTGTTTCCTGAACCCATGTCCTAGTGCTGAATCCCCTCCTGCACCCAACCTGGTGCCCAGGTGTGAGACCTTTTGCACCCAAACTCCTTGGAGCCTCTGACAGGTGATCCTGAGTGATTTGGCTGGGAAGCTATCAAGCACTGGCACTTCACTTGCCCCTCCACCCACTGTCTTGCACCTCAATGCTTCTCCTGGACCTCAAACCTGCACCATGGACTAAGCTCAGAGCCCTTACCACACTCCAAACCCCTTGGCCCAAGACCAGAGCCTGCACCCGAACCTCCTAACTTAGGCTGGTGAAAGTGAGGGAGGATGGAGGAGAAAGGGATATGGAATGAGCAGGGTGAGGCCTCGGAGAAAGGATGGAGCAGGGGCAGGGCCTCAAGGATATGGGGCAAGTGTATTGGGTTTGAGATAGATCTTACTAAAGTTGGAAAAGTGACCTTAAAAAGGTTGGAGACAACTGGTATAAAGCATGTTTGAGTTATGCATATTCATAAGTCAGTTTTCATAAAGCATGTAGGGTGCCCTGTGACATGTGTATCCAGACTTTCATGGATTTTGATTTGGCCCTTCATAGAAGTAAATGGGAGCTGAATGAATGGTATTGTCTACTAAAAACAAAACTAAAACCTATAATCAAATTCAGTTTGCTTTTCAAGCTATTTAAGAAACTGTTTGGTGTCAGGTGTAGCAGTGGAAGGAGGATTTCAGTAACCGGCTACTGATACTGTTCCTATCTTGGTGGCAGCTTTTACATTAGATCAGAGGTTCTCAAACTTTTTGGGCTCTGGAGCCCTTTACATGAGTAAAATTTATGTGGAGCCCCAGCGGTCCACTGAGTGTATGTGTTGTACCCATTGATGTTTCTAGTTTGTCAACCTCGCGGAGCCCCTGGAGATGTCTTGCGGAGCCCTGGGGCTCCGCGGAGCGCAGTTTGAGAGAGACTGCATTTGAGAAACCCTGCATTAGATTATCCATAAAGTCATCAGAATACAGCTTCATTGTTGCCTTTGTTTAATTTTGCAGTACACGATAAATGGGAAGAAAGTTGAAGTGGCTGTGAAGCAGATCATTGCAGGGAAGGAAGTTGATCAGCAGGGATCCTTCTCAAATCCAGAGACATTGGACCTGTACCAAAATATTCCTGAACTTCAGAACTTCTGAATCTTTTTTGCATCTCTGTATTCTGTGTGTGTTTGTTATTGTATATATGAATACTGTATGTAAAGAAGAAACTATTTAAATACTAATAGTTCTTTTAAAGGAAAAATATTTCGTTAAGTGCATTATGAATGGCTTGGGTAAAATTTAGCTACTTTTTACTAGTTGAATATGCCCTATATTTTGGATTCTGTCTTTAAGCTTGGAAGAAGAAGCTGCCTATTGGGTTTTTTATACATATAACACATGGATCTTTTCTGATTAGACTTGTATCTAGAACATGAGAAGCAAATTGTTTCCAGTTGATTGAATACTTGTGTTCATAAAGCTTTCACTTTCCATTTTTAAATGGATTTTAAGCTAGTTAGTTAAAAACTGTTAGAGCCATGTATAAAGATTGTGGCTTATTTAAACACTTGATGTTTGTGTTGTGAAGGAGGGTAAAGGCAGGTCAGCATGGCCACGAAATACAAAAGTATGGAATAGTTTTTAATATGTTCCAGTAAAGCCACATCTAAATTCATTGTATCTTACTTGACTGTGTGTGGTCTTGAAGAATAACATTACACTTGGAGGGAATTGCTGCTTCATGTTGTGATGTTACCTTTACATTGTTTTAAGCTTTTTAGCTGATATGTTTTTGTAGATGGGTGGGAGCAAATGCTGTCACTCTTCCATTGGATGTCTAATTTTCAGTAGAATTGTTCTGGGTTTGTCAGTGTAACTGAGGCTAGAATTTGACTTATTACTCCAAAGTCCATTATTGGGAATCTATAAGCAAAAATCCAGTTCTGTATTAACAGAACAGTTCCAGATTATTAATGTAATAAACACTAGTGGTTTTTGTAGCCTTTTTTACTAAATGTGATGAAAGTGGAAAAAACTAAAGCATCTTTTCAATTCTTTATCCTTCCACTTACTAAAGGGACCCCTCTTCCCCCATGTATGTTGTCACTACAAAATGGAAACAGTAATACAGTTGTTCACAGAAAGATACAATGGCAGTAGCTCTACCTAATCCATGACATTTAGTATCCTGTGCACTATTTGACTGTTGAGTGAAGTATTTACTACATTAAAATAATGAGCGTCATTAATTGTGTTCAGTGTGTTCAACGCTTTATGTTAAACTTAATAAAAATAGAACCTTAAGTATTGATTTTAATTTTTACTCAATTGTCTTTGACCTACTTCTCCCCTCACCCTCCTCTTCTGGTGTAATCCGATTCTTACCTCAGTTTCCTTCACCCTTCCATTCTTTACTCTACTCACTTCCCTCAAAAATCCTACATTGGAAGTACTTCAAGGCAGGGGTTCTCATCTTTGTGTTATGTGCAGCACTAAGCATGTCTTACATTACTGATTTGCATGTTCATGCATGGGGTTTGGGGCATATGACTAGACAGAAAAGTAAACCTGCTAAAATGTCTGTCATTTACCTCCTCCATTACTGTAATAAAATAGTATGTCAAGCTGTAACTTCATAACAAAAAGTGTGTATTTTTGTACCGTGTTCACACATCTATACTAGTGCCATCATCACAGGACCTAACCTTATAAACCACCACATTAGAGGCTGATATAACTGCACATCCACCAATATGCTCTGTGCCATCAAGTACCAACAGTGCCCCCTTGCAATGGATATTGGTCAAACTGGACAGTCTCCACAACAAAGGACTAATGGACACTCATCAGATATTCAAAAAGGTAACACACAGAAACCTGTTGGAACATTTTAACTTGCCTGGGAACTTATAAATGCAGCTCAAAGTTACCATATTATTACAAGCCAATTTTCAAAAACCAGCTTGAAAGGGAAGCTGCAGAACTTAATTTCATTTACAAGTTTGATACCTGCAATACAGGTTTAAACAAACACTGTAACTGAATTACCTGCTAAATTCCACAACCTAATGACATAAAAAGCCAAGCACCAGGTACTTAAGAGTACTTACAACCCACTCTAATTGACCATTCTTTTCTCATTTTTTTCCCCTCCCCATCCCCTCTGTTTCTCTGCTATTTATTGCAACCTGGATGAACTCCATTCATCTGAAGCAGTGGGTCGTACCCACGAAAGCTCATGATACCATCTACATTTTTTGTTAGTCTCTAGGGGTATGTCTGCACTACAGCGCTAATTTGAACTAAGTTAGTTCGAATTAGTTAATTCGAACTAAGCTAATTTGAACTAACACGTCTAGAACTAAAAACTAGTTTGAATTAGCGTTTTGCTAATTCAAACTAACATGTCCACATTAAGTGGACCCTGAACCGGGCTTAAGGATGGCCGGAAGCAGTGCTGGCAGGGCATCAGAGGAGGACTTAGAGCGTGGAGCTGCTGTCTCAGGCTAGCCGAGGGCTGCGCTTAAAGGGTCCCGACCCCCACCCTGGACAGACAGTTCTCAGGGGTGCCCCGCTTGCAAACCAGTCCTGGCTTGGAGTGC